CCGGCGGCGACTGGACGTCTGGGAGGATGAGATGGCTTCGATGTCGGACGAAGTGTTTACCGACCTGTTCCGCATTAATCGGGCCATATTAGAATTAATATGCGAGGGAATGCACCACATACTGCACCCAGTCATACAAAGGCACGCGTTGCCGATTCGCGTCGCTGTTTTAATCCCCATAAAATACTTCGCAAGCGCCATGGCATACATCGACCTGGCCTTCTGGTTCGGCGTCCCAAAAACGCTATGTCATAGCCTTGTTGATTTGTTTCTGCAAAATTTCCCGCGCGTCTTTAAAACGGAATGGGTCCGATTTCCTACGCAGGAGGAGATGCGCGTCATGGCAGAGGAGTTTAAGAGCATCAAGGGGGTTCCGGCGGTAATTGGAGCTATTGATGGCACGCACATCCAGATTAGGGGAATGGAAGGGCATCGATCGGAGTATTATAGCCGTAAGTCACAGTATGCCGTACAGCTGCAAATTACATGTGACGCTAAAGGCGTCATATGGGAGTATCTGATCGGCTTTCCGGGCACAGCTCATGACCAAAGGGTGTTCATACAATCCAAGCTTTACAAACGACTGGAAAATGGTGACATCGCCCCCTACCAGCTAGTTGGCGATGCGGCTTACCCCCTCCGCGACTATTGCCTCACGCCCTTGCACGCTCCGACTGGCCGCCTCATGCTCGAGTGGCAGCAGACATTTAACTACTGCCAATCAGCCACCCGGATGTCCGTGGAGCGCACCATCGGACAATTCAAGGGCCGGTATCGGCTGTTTGCCGGCCGTCACGACTGTGCGCTCTGGCGGGTGCTTGCCGGGGCCAGCTGCGTCGTTATCCTGCACAACATGGGCATTGGGATGGCGGGCCAACGCATGAAGACCCCGAATGTCAGATGGGCGGCGATATCGCTAAATCGGGATCCGTGGTGGACAAGAGGAGAGCTTGCAGAGTACAAGTGGGAGGCGTGTGACATTGTTACGCCGTTCGAACTGAAGGAACGCCGTAAAAGACTCGGGATGGCTCTCCATGACGCGTACCTTAAGCGTCGTCGCCACGACGCCACTCCTCAACCTCGTCACTGAGCGTGGCATTGTCGTCGTCCGGCCATGCGTCGTCACCGCCAGCGCGGCCGCGAGAGAAGCGGAGCGGGCGACTGGTCTGAGACTGCTGGCTTGCCATCCACTCCCGGATTACTCCGGTGATCTGGGAGACGCCTTCCTCGGAGCAACGTGTGAGGGTGTCGGCTAACAGTTGAGCAGCAGCCATTGTTGCTGTCTCGTTATCTCGGCGTCTAGCGCTTGGGGGGGTGCTACGAACTGCGGGCACAAAGGCATTGGGTGGGGTAGAAAGTTTGTACCATTGTATGCCTCTAACCTGTTAATATATGATACCGGGAACTCTGACGTGGCATTAACTCACAACCCAACTCCAGGGGAGAGCACCCCTTGCACATTAACTCACCTGTTGAAGTCGTAGCATCGGTTTTCGCGGGCTTAGGGATGTTCAATCCAGGTTCGACGGTGACATCGTCAGCTCCGCCACCATCCAGTGCGTGAGGAACCGCAGCTGCAGTGTCCTTATAAATTAGGACCATCCACTCCCACCACGGGGGCTTGATGACAGTCGCCCCACCCGACGCCTTGTCCCCGAGGGACACCTGCTTCCACAATGCCTTGAGACGTTTCCACTGGTTGGTGCACGCGGTAGCGTTACGGCTCCAGTCGGGGTGCGTGAGCTTGATGTGCTCGCAGAGACGTAGCCAGTATTGCGAGCCTTGCTTCCCGGTCATCTGCTGCAGCTCGTCCTTCGTGAACCAACGTGCCGCAACTAGGATGGTCGACTCCTTAAGCGACCACTCGATGCGGCTGCCAGGCCCGGGGCTGCTGGTCTCCTTAGCTGGGCTGCGCACAGCAGCCTTTCCCTTCTGCTTTCCGTTCGAGCGCGGGGCAGTATCTGCTTGCCGGCGATCGGCTTGTGTAGTTTCCGCGTCGTCCTGATCAGGGCCGTTGTATTCACGGCCGCCATGCCAGTCTGCTACGGGATCGTCTGCGTCGGAGCCGGCGACGTCGTCCTCGTCGTCAGAGTCCTTCTCAAGGCTCCCATCGTCAGTGTCGTATCCACGGGGCGAGACGGTCGACTGCTTGGGGGTTGTGCTCGAGGCTCCCACACTACGTAAAGGACGCCCAGTCGGCCTTCCGGCTGCGATTTCAGCAGTCATGTATTTGACGTAAGCAAGATCCTCCACTCGCCACCCTTCGTCCTCTGCTGCGCCTAACGGTCCTTTGCGTTTCCGTGCCATGGCTTGTAGCTAACTCGCGATGTTGAGACTAGGTTGTTGTTCGCCTGTTTGTATATGCCGTTAAATGTGTGCACTTGAGAGATGGTGTTGGGGGCTTGGTTGTGACTGCGTGTATGAAGTGTTCAACGTGCTGGTAATCTCCGTTGCGCCGCGGCGGGAAATGCTCAAAATGTTTGGAATCGTGCACATTGTGCACGATGGTTCCCCGCGCACATTCGCCACGTCACGGCCGTGCGCAGGTTAGAGTGTCGGGCGAGATGCAAGGACAGACGTTTACGCGTTGCACGTGGACGTGTACAGCAACGGTCGAAGAGTTGTGCGACATGGTGCGATCGATTTCAATCGTGCGCGTTCCCGGTACAATCCTGATAAGAGGCGTTCTATAACGTGCATACAACAAATATGGGAAGCTGATAAGAGGATGCCCTGACAAGGGGCTGTAGGAACATGCCCTTATTGCAATGGCGACATCACTGCACCATATACGGTACACTATTCAATCGGTACTACAGTTGACACTGAATAAACAAATACATTGGAAACAAATGGAATATACGCCATGCCTACAACTCCTGTCACCACACTAACTCAACTTAGTGAAAGCCGCATTTTCTATCAGAAATTCATCGAGCGGCTGTGCCACCATAGGCCACTCAGATATGTCATTGCCGTGAAAGGACATCGACTCAAGTAATTTGTCATAGTTCGAGAGCTCCTCCTGAGAGACCTCGTTCTGAGAGAGCTCCATTTGAGAGAGCCCCTTCCCGTCCTCCTGACCGCCGCCCAAGGCTGAAGGAAACAGCTCCTCTTCCCCATCCTGCTGCTGTCCCCAAGAAGACTCCATACCCACTTGAACGCTGCCCATGCCCATCTGACCACCACACATGCCTGTTTGATCATCACACATGGCCATTTGACCATTATATATGTCAACCTGACCCCCTCCCATGCTTGATTGACCACCGGACGTGCCCTCTCCTTGCTGCAAGAATGATTGAGGAAATATCATTGGGTTTCTGGCCTGCAGGTGTGGCTGTAGCGGGTGTGCCTGTAGCGGGGGCTGTGCTGCTGTTTCCACGGCTCCTGTTGCTGCTACAACCAAGGTTGGTACATGCATCTCGGTATGAGTAGGTGCAGGGAGATACTTCGGCTCGTCTTCTGCTGCTGCAGCTGGTGGCGGTACTGCTGCTGCTCCTGCCATCGCTGCCGCTGCTGCTGCTGTTGATTGCCTAGCTGCTGCTGGTGCTGCTGGCGCTGCTGCTGTTGGTGCTGCTGCTACTGCCATTGGTGGTGACATAACGAGGCTTGACGCCTGGAGCTCTGCTTCCAGCTGCCACAGAAGCAAGTCCATAGACTGTGCATCGATTGCAGGTGACTGGTTGAAAGACAGTAGCAATTCCGCATGTGAAAGCGAGAAAGGAGACTGTAGCCGTGGTGCTGCTGGGAACACACATGCAGGTGATTGTATCGGTTGCCCTGCTGCCAGCAGATTTGCAGGTGACTGTATCAGTGGTCCTGCTGACATCAGATCCTCAAGTGACTGTAGCGGTGATCCTGCTGAAATCAGATCTGCAGGTGACTGTAGCAGTGACCTTGCTGAAACGAGATCTGCAAGTGATTGTATCGGTGAACTTTCTGAAGCCAGATTTGCACGTGACTGTAGCAGTGGCCGTGCTGACACCAAATCCGCAGGTGACTGTAGCAGTGACCTTGCTGAAACAAGGTCCGCAGGTGAATGCACCAGACGAGCTGTAGCTTGAGGCAGATGCAACAGGGTGTTCTGGGATGGTGTGCGATGGAAGGAGGTGTGATGCGATGGGGTGTGCATGGTTGGTGAAGGATACGATAAGCCACGCTGGGCTGTGGCATGATAGGTCAGGGAAGACCTCTTTGGGGAGTAATGGGTCGGCGCAGGATAGGTCGGCGCAGGATAGGTTGGCCAAGCCAGTGCCGACTCTTCATGCTGCATAAACTGCAATGAACATATGCACAGGAGGGGACAGGGTGTAAGATGGAGAAATGCAAGAAGAGAAACCTTGCTAGGAGCACGGAAGGGAGAGGGGGGGGGGTGCTCACCTCGGTTTTGATCTTGGCTGAAGGATCCAAGGGGGTAGCTCCCGTAGTGTTAGGTACGGCAGGTGTGAATTGAGCAAACATTGACGGAGCAGCAGAAGAAGCACCGATCTGAGCAGCAGCAGCAGCAGCAGCAGGAGCGAATGGCAGGGGTTCTTGCAGGGGTGACGCCCCGATTTGAGTGGGAGACGCAAAGGCGAGGTCCTGGTATGCATTCATTGCACGCAGCACCTCTGCTGCGTCAGCCACAGCAGCAGCAACACCACTAGCAGCAGCGGCAGCATCAATGCCGGAATCCATGCTTGCTGCAACCACTGAAGGTGGAGCGTTGGCCACAGCAGCAGCAGCAGCATAAACAACGCCACCAGCAACGCCACCAGCAATTCCTGAATCCATGCTTGCAACAGGAGCTGGGCCCCCAGTGCCTGAAACATCAACAAAGCTGCTGCTGCTGCTGCAGACGCCGGCACCTTGAGCCGTGTGCATGCATGCGCTGCTGCTATCATCCACACCGTTTAGCATCTTCTGCTCTCCTTCATCCGACGGTCCTTGCCGCTGGACCATCCGCGAGAGCACCACCTCCCATTCAGCCGGTGTCAGAAGCTCGCCTAGCAGCATCGCTACATCACTCTTGCTGCTTTCGCCACCCTTGGCACTTGCCAGAGCTTGCCAGTCTTGTGGAGGTTCCGCTGCTGCTGAGGTTGCTGGGGTTGTATGCGCTGCCGGGAATGCTGGGACGGCTGAAGCTGCCGGGCCTGCTGGTTCTGCCGGTCCTGTTGGGTTCGGAAACTGGTTCGGAAAGCGCTGTGGTAGTCCGGGGCTGCTCCGGAGCAGCACACCTTGAGAGGCGCACGTCGTTGCTGACAGGCGAGGGTAGAACTTCACACAACCGCGTTTGGAAGCAGCAGACCCAAGGGGCCCACCAGACAGGTGTTGGGCAGACGATGCACCTCCAGAAGCAGCAGCAGTCCCAAGGGGCCCACCAGACGGCTGTGGAGCAGACGCAGAGCTCACAGCAGGCCAGGGCAGTCCGTCGTGACTCTGCTGGGATGTCCTTTGAGAGTGTTCAGAAGCATAGGCAGGGGCGGAGAAGTGTGGAGCAGACGCACAGGTGGCAGCAGCAGGCCAGAGAGGCTCATCCTGGCAGCAGCTGCCGCTGGGGCTCTCCAGGGGACCATCCGGTTCAGATTTCACCGGCGTTGCCCTCTGCCGCTTTGAAGCCTGGTAGCTCAACTCCTCAGGCTGGTAGCTCAGCCCCACCGCAGCAGGGAAGCATAAATCCCCGTCAGACCGGAAGCTGGGTTTCAACTCAGCCCGGCTGATCTCCGCCGGCTCGTTGCCGAGTGCCATAATCTGCTCATACATGCTCCCGATGGTTCTCTGTCGCGTTGTGCCGGCGGTCCTCTGCGAGAAAACTGCAGGCGCAAGAGCAGAGCAAGTCTCCTTGGGTTCGCCGAAGGAGGCACTGCCTCCTATGACATAGGAGGGGATGAGGCCAGTGAGTGGTTTAGATGCACACAGGATCTCTTTGAATTTGCCGCGGGACTGCATGCTGGAAACGCGCGGAGAGACTGCCGCGAACGGTCCACTGTGCGAGACATTGGCAGGATTTCCAGGGGCTTGCGAAGGGGCAGGAGCCGTGTCACGGTGAGGTTTAAGGAGGGCAGTAAGGGGTGCTGTATACGCTGAAGCCTGTTGTTGAAAAGGAGCAGTCATGGGGCCGCTTGTTGCTGCGTCGATGCTCCGGCGGCGGCGCTTGAGGCACAACGAGGAAGGGTGGTTGTGGAAGCCTGAGGTCGTCATGCGTATCACCTTGCGCATCTCCACTCTCTCAGGGCGGGTCGGAGCGGCTTCATCCTCAAGAGCAGGAGCAGCCGCATCATCAGCAGCATCAGCCACATCGGCAGCATTAGCAGTGCTGGCAGCAGCAGCAGCGGGGCCAGCAGCGGCGGCGGGTGGCGCGGTGTGCTTGCCGCGGGGCGGGCCGGGGATGCGGTCCTCCACTTTGCGCGCCGTGCATCCCGTGACGGCCTTGCACACACACGTGAAGTAGATCCTGGGGGGGGCCAGGGAAGCATGGGAGAGGGGTAGGAATGAGGGACGACACGCAAGCTAGTAGGTGTGCATCTCGTGACGGCCTTGCACTCACACGTGAAGTAGATCCTGGGGGGGGGGGGGGGGGGGGGGGGGGAGGGGGGGGGGGAGGGGAAGCATGGGAGCAGTAGAGAGAGGATTCATTTTCTGAACACTAAATGGCCTTGCACACACACGTGAAGTAGTTCCTGTGAGGGGGGAGGCATGGGAGCAGTTGAGAGGGATTGATTATCAGTAGTAACTATACGGCCTTGCACACACACACGTGAATAGATCCTTCTAAGGGAGACCATGGTAGAGAGGTATAGAGGGAATTCATTCTCTTAATCTATACAGCCTTGCACACAACAGGAAGTAGGGGAGGAGGGGGAGGCATTAGAGAGAGGTAGGCAGGCATGGAAGATATAAGGGGAAGAGATGGAGAGAAATGAGGGAGAAAATCGCAATATATCTTTGTGTGCCACAGATTGCAAGGTAGGTGAGTGTGGGGACCGTTGAAAATAAAGAGGAAGTCCATTGCTTGGTATGACAAGTTTGTCATCGCCACGACAAAATGAGACAGAAAAAATCCGAGCCTCACCTTTTCACAGTCCGTTGGCAGAGCCACTTATGGGAGACTTTCTGCCAGCGGAACCGGCTCGAATCTTCTTCCATCTGTTTCAAGGAGGGACGTGACTCTGGTTCCCAGGAAAAAATGCAAGAACCATCGCCTCTGCCTCCGCTCAAAGTTCCCATGCCGCTGCTGCTGTCGGTGTTGTGTGTTTAATGTAAGATTTTATTTTCCGAATCGTTTTAAACCTAGATTTAGGTTTTACTTATTTTTTCAACAGAGGATATTTTAGAACGACTAGTATTGTTAGCTACTGGAAGATAAAGCGGCCGCTGAAGCTGCTGGGATTGTTACGTTAGACTCTTGATACTACGAAGGTTGAACGTCACAAGAAAGTGGAAGCCATAATCTGTTCTGTTAGAACACCCTTTTGCTGGAGGCTGGAAATGGCAATATTTGCTTGAAAAGGGAAGGAGAACACTTCAAGGGGAGAGTGGGAGGGAAGGAACACAGACTGTTCAGCCAGGTTGACAACTGGCGTACATGACCAGTGTCATGTGTGCTCCTCGCCTGGGTAGTACTGTAGAATTTCCACACCTCGAAGCTCAGTGCACACTGTTATGGGTTTCTCGCAACCACAATTCTACGCAAGAGTATGATATTTTGCAAACCACACGCAACACTAAAGCCATAAAAAAAGAAGGAAACCGTTTGCGCGGACTCGAAACAAGGGTGACCGGTAAACACTCAGCTCTGTCTACAGAAGGGATGACCCAGTGCAGAGTGGATATGTGGGTGGGTGATGCTGTTCAGTGGTGCTTCTGGCCTGTTTTGCTGGAAGGGATCCGATTTGAGGTTCCGGGAAATGCAATGAGTCGATGACCATTCCGCCTGCGACAAGCGAACCAGCTGGTGTTTACTGTACTGTGATCTGCGATGCTGCGTTGGCGAAATCGTGTGACGCTGGCACGTCGGTAGGCTTCGTCGCATACGGTCGAACCGCACACGGTTTTCGCCCAAGTGGTCGGGGGAACCACGTGAGTGGGTAGGGTTGGGGTTGAAACGGTGTTCGCCCAACTCTACGACACAACTCTGTCCCGCAGTGGAAACGGTGTTCGGGTGCTAGCCGTGCTCCACAGTTGTATGTATAGGTATAAAAAGCGGGATAATTAGGGTAGCCCAGCCATTTGCTTGGGTTACAAAAGATGTATGTATAGGTACTAAAATAAAATGAAAGAAATTTCAAAACTGAAAATGAGGAGATCGATTATTTAGCCATTTCATCACAAGAACTGTACGATGTTTTGATTTTTAGTTTCATACCATCGGTTGCCTATTCATTGTCCAATCGGAAATCGTGGTTCTTCTCCGCAGACTCAGAGCTGTTCTCTAACAATCGGCCCAACCGAAGACGCGTTTATCAATCTGTATGGGTAGCGGGGATGGGCACGTTCAACTGAACGCAAACCAGTGAGGACTCACACATGTACAGGCGTTCTGGGTTGTAGGCCCTCGCTAAAAGAGTCCCTTTTCCCCCCTGAGTAGAATTTTCCGATATCGCCTAGGTGTAGCCCGACCTCTACAGTCCCTTTTTTTGGCGGGAAATTTTGCAGCTTGACCGAATCATTGCACGAATCAGCTCCACAGCCAATCAGAGGGCCGAGATCGAACCAGGCCAACATTCAGGGAAAATGATAAAGAAGGGATACTCGATTCTATATTTAACTTTATAATTGTAATTAATTGTTTATCTTGACCGTGCTTACTTCTCAATCCTGTCGCGCGGTCCCCAGCTCGCTCGACGATGACATCTCATTTATCTCGCTTACAGGGTAAAACAGACGTTTTTACTATTCATGCCCCAAACCGTAATTGATTTTGTTTTGTTTTGCCCGTTAGTCATGCGACATTGATCAACGCGGGGAACCGTGCGACGAGAATTACTGTAGCTATGCAATACAGTTAATAAGGGAATGTACCCCTCAGAGTACACGGCTAGCTAGTTTGCTATTTATACCCTTGTATCTTCATCTTATAATGATATTGTTCTCTTTCAACTTTTATTAAACATTATCACTACAAGACTTCATTGTCTTCCTATAACTTAGCAGTTTTATCCTATCCACTACGATTCCCGGATTACATCAACATGGTATGCGAGCTAGAGTGGATTATAAGACCTGCCAAGTTCCTGTTCTTCTTAGAACAAACTCTTTATAAACTTATTCATTAAAATACCTATTATAAGTCTGCATCACTATGGCTCCTGAAGGGAAAGCCACCGCAGACTCTCCGGGCCCACCACCAGCAACGACTAATGCGCCATCAGCGGTGACCTCCGTCAGTGCCGCACTCGTTGAGCAGCTTGTCGCTCGCATCAACGCTCTTGAGAGCCACCAAGCCATGGGCATTGATGGCTCAAGCTATGCAAGAGGAGTTGCTGGACTGCCTCTCCCGGGATAAAACCGCAGCGTCAACTCCGAAAGATCCTTTACGTTTGACAACCGTCAAGGATCAGCTCCTGCGCAAGACAGTCAACAACGCGCACAAACGGAGGCAATCGCAACCATGCAAACAATGTTTGTTTTGACTTCAAAACTGAAAACTTCAACTCAATTCAACGGCAAGGATTTCTACACGCGGAGCTTCGAGTTTGAGCTCCTCGCAACAACGGCGCAGATCTGGATGTACTACGACGGGAGCTTACCTTTTCCGTCGGAAGGAACCATTCAGGAGAAGAATCAGTACTACCACGAGTCCCTTCTCGCGTACACCGCTCTTCTCCAAAATCTCTCCCCCGTCGAGCAGCTTGGCATCCGCTCCTACAAATCGGAGTGGGCACACGCGCAAGTGTCTTGGGAGCACCTGCGCAATTCATACATGGCAACAGACCCAGTTACCATGAGTCGCCTGCTCAATCAATTGACAGCAGTCAAAATGCATCAAGGGGACCGTATATCAATCGGTGCCGCAATCTGCGCGACCACATCAAGAAGTGTGGCGGAACCGTCCCTGACGACATGTTCGTCTCGATGGTTCTCTCTGGACTTGGACCCGATTGGCGTCAGTGTCAGTTGTTGCTCCGCGCTCGAGCAACTATATCCGAGTCCGCCCTTTGCGCCACACTCCTCTCCGAGCAGAAGGAGATCGACCTGTACAATGAGAAGAAGAACAAGCGGGGAAAATTTGTGTTCTTCGCTAGAGCAACTAAAGGGGAGAAGCACGGAAAGAAGGGGGCCTTCTGCAAGTACTGTAAGAAACCAGCTCACACCATAGACCGATGCTACAAGCGAAAGGCCGCTGACGAGAGGCGCAACAACTCATGTGGTCAACAGCCCTCGGCGCCCTCCGCAACTCCAGGTGCGACAGCGACCATGTCGCCACCATCCGTCGCAAGCACGTCGCAAACTCCTGCACGCATTTCATCCAAGGACAAGGGAAAAGGTTCAGTTTTGAGCTGCATGGTGCGCCGCAGAGCCTTTTGTTACTACGACGACATTGAATTTCCGCCAAATGCGCCAATCGATCCAATCACACCAAGCGCAAACAACGATCCCACACTCTGTTCCTGGATCGACAAGCCGACCAACATCCCACCTGATTTCGAACTGCCTCCGAGCACGCCGGAGTCTCCTCCCAGCTTTCCCGCAAGAGACTACAACGACCTCTCGCCGTACTCCGTCGACCTTGACCGCATCGTCACTCCAAAGATTGCCGGCATCGCGCGTCAGAGCCGCGACAACTTCAACACTTGGTATCTTGACAGCTGCTGCGGGCAACACATGGTGGGATCACCAACTTTCATCAGCAGCTGAAAGCGCATGCGACGACCATGCGAAATCACCGTCGCAAACAACAATCGACATCAAGCATACAACATCGGAGAAATCTACCTTGAGGCTGTGGACACCCGCTTTACAATCCACATCGGAGACGTCTTGCTCGTCCCCAATCTCCAGTTCAACCTGCTCTCTGCAGCACAACTCATGAAGTGCGGGGTCGACATTCGAAGCAACTGCAAGGAGAAAAGTTTCGAACTGTTTTACAAGAAAACCTACATCGGGAAGGCAGTTGATGACGACGGAGTCTTCATTTTAAACTTCACAGCACAAGGTACCAATGGCGACTCCGAACGGACTCTCCTGCTGAAGACGACGCCCACGAAGACTCCGACTTGGTCGCACCCTACGGAGATGGATCTCGAACGCCCCGCCTCAGACGGACTTCTTCGCCTGCGCGCTGTCCCAACTGCTTCGACCTCTACTCCCGGAGATACCGGACCTGCAACAATGGAACAGTAAGAAGACAGCGGGAAGTCAACAACTGCAGGACAAGCTGACATTGGAGGATGGGGAGCAACTGCAGAAGCTGGCACTAGATGGGGAGTAACAGGACCGGTCTCACCCAGCTGGGCCAATCCCAGTGCTACCATCGGCGCTTGGAGAGTCGTCCAAACACCAGAAGAAGGAGCTGCTACCGGAGGCGGTTGGGGAACCTCAACTTCCCGAAGCGGCTGGGGACCCCCAAGCCCTCCTTATCCCGAGGCTCCAGCACTTCCCCCTGCAACGACTCCCGCGACCACTCGTCACCGGTGACCCAATTCACACCGCCGATACGGACGACATCGCCGGAAATCTCGACGCCGTCCTGGAACGAGTTTCTGCCTGAGCCTTCGGAGCAGATGTGAGCGCCGCCAGCGACAAGGGACCTGAAACGGAGCAGCGAGACGAAGCAGAGAGAAACAAATATTATCCGAAGACCGTCGGTTACCGTGCAGAACCAGAAATTTGGCACCAACGACTCGGACACCCCTAACACGTCACACTCAAAAACTCCATCAAGGCCAGAGTCTTTGACTCGGAAGCACTGCTGCTTCCCAGAGGTGGCACCCTCACGGCAACTTCAGACGACCCGCCATGCCTCGTCGGCCCCACCGCGTCACTCACTCACAAGCCCTTCCCCGACTTACCTCCTGGCTACGAACGCTAGAACCGCTCAAGAAAGCCTACAGCGACTTCATGATACTCAGCCAAGAGCAAAACACGATGACCTTCATCGACGCGTGCACGCGCTACATCTGGGCCATCAACGTCGACTACCGCTC